AATATTATCTAAGAACGAAGCTAAATCGCAAAGCGAATGGCGTTGATTTGGCGCGAATATTTCGGAAGAATGTAATCTTGAAAACCGGTTTTTTCAGCCAAATATTGTTGTTGTCAGCCAAAAGTCATGTGGTTGTTTTCTACTGTATTCGTTCACAGGGATTAAAGAATAAATGCTTTTAAGATGTGATTAACTTAAAATATATCTTTAAACCTACAATTTATATAATACATGATACTTTTTAATAATTTTCTGTGCATTTGCATTGATTTAAATTCCAGAACATGTTGGAACTACTTTTTCAAGCGGATTGTTACATTCCCTACCTTTCCCAACGCTGCCAACTTGAGGTGAAACAGAGTTTTTTTTTATAGTAAGAAATTATAACAAAATTGATATAGAGCACCCCACGCTTTTACCCCAATGACATTAATTTTCTTGTTAATCATTTTATTCTTATATTAAGAATTTTTTTTACTTTTTAGTTCGCTGCACCATAAAAGCGTGTTTTTAGTTTTTAAACTATAGTATTTATTTTTTTTAGTCCGATCTACAATAAAAGCGTGTTTTTTTTTTAGTTTTTTAAACTATCGTTTATTCATTGTTGAATTTATCCTTGAATTTGAAATTTTGCGCTGGTATTACGTGGCTGCTGGTATTAGTGGACTTCAATGGATATTAATTAACGTGTCTGAAGGGTATTCATTCTCTCCGTTTACGGGGCCTCGGATGAGTCCCGTATCGTTATATTTCAAAGATTCCGTCTCTGTAGATACAGGTCGAACTAACAAAAGTGTGTTAAGAAATATTAAATGTGTCAACCGTACTATCACCTTTTAAACGTATTGCAATAATGTTAATTCGTATCATAAATTCTAAATGTATTGTTTTATAAAAATAAAAATATATTTAGCAGTTAGAACATAAATTATTTTTATCACATGCACGAGTCTTTTTTTATTTCCATTTTCAGAAAAACTACAGCATTGTTTATATTATACATATTGCTATAATGCTAGTTCATGCCATCACTTCTAAACGTATATTGCTTTATAAAAATAGAAGATATTTAGCAGTTAGGACATAAATTATTTTTTTCACATGTACAGTTTTTTTTTTCTATTTCCATTTTCAGAAAAACTATATAACTGCTTATATTATGGTTAGAAATTGCTGACGTGCCCACCCTACTCTTTCTCACATAAAGAACACTTTTATTTGTTTGTTTTATTTGTATTAACCCAAGCCTATTCGCTTTTAGGGTTGCACCTTAATCTTTTAGTCGCTAAATCTCGAATTAGTCGCCAAAACAGGAAATGGCATATGGAATTAGTCGACAAATCTGAAAATAATATATGCAATAAATCGACAAATCTGAAAATCCTTATTGTTGATGATCGTGATCAGGACAGTGAAACAAAATTATGAAATTATTGTATTGCCATCGGTCCTTGATAAGTGTGCAAAATTTCGAATTAATCCGACCTTTTAAAGTGAGTAAAAATCGAGTTCAAAGATTCCGTAACATACAAGTAAAACTTATAAAAGCATGTTAAAAAAACCGAAACTTTATCATTCAAAATGTACAAAACGTCTTTTTATTATAAATATTTGATAGCAATTTATTGATGGACAATTATGATCTTTTTGTGACCTAATCCTACGCTGAAATTAAATAGTCATAATAATTATTTTTAATACTGTAAGTAAAATGAATTGAGAAAGAGAGTATTACTTTAAATATAACTAGCTGGTATACCCGTTCTTCGCACGGGGGGATTGAAAAATTAAACAATACAGATTGAAGGGTAAGAAAACGTTTTTAATGAGTTAATTTTATGTGAATTGCAAATTAAAAAAAAAAAGCTTTTTGCATATCTCATCTAAACAAAAAAGCTATATTCGTAAAATTTTAAGTCTGTAGATCTAATAGCTGATAAAAAAGATATTTTTTTATTTATTTATAACGCCCCCGTAACTCCCTTGTGGGTCGATTTTTGAAAACACCTTTCTAAGCTGATCTCTGATCAGCAAAAATAACACATTGTTACAAATGTTGTGTAATGAATGCTTAAAATAGTGTAAATAATTTATATCTGGATGTGCAATACATTAATATTACTTTCTGCTGTATTTATTTATGTTAAAATTGTAAGATTCGCAAGCAACGCCATTCTTTACATTATAATGGCAATTTAATTGAAACATAGCGAAATGTCGGTAGTAGAACCAAGTTGGCAACATTTTTGGCGACCATGTTGGCAACTTAGCGATTAATTTAATGGCGCAGAAGTTGATATGCTCTAGCGCCATATGATGGGGAGCTGCAACAAAGAGGATAGCACAAAAACCTTCAGCACAAAAAATACATATACAAGCCAATTTTCATAGTGATCGGTAGAATGGTGTTGAAAAGTGAAGCGAGGTCATGTATACAAACATCATTTTATATGTATAGATTATACAGGTCTATATGTTTTACTTCATACTAATTTGGGTTGTTGTTGTTTTTTACCTCTATTAGCTAAAATGAAAGGTGTTTTGTTAAAAATATAATTAGTTTCTATTTTAACTCATTAAAAAGTAAAATAACCAAAGAACATAGAGAGTGCTCAATATCTGCAGCCTTAATGAGCAACGAAAAACAACTAAAATCCAAGAACAGATTTAAAAGAGGAAAAAGATAAATGAGGGATTAAAAAATCATTTATCACTCTGAAAAACGATTATAACTCAAACAAAGAAGAAAACAAAATATATTTTAAGAAAATAATTGCTTCATTAAGCATGTGCAAAGGAAGATTAAACTAAAATTATCTTCTTTCGCGAATATAATACTCTGTGATACAATTTCCCAACTTAGAAAAATAAGCAAATAATACACTTATAATTACGAGTACTTATATTATAGTCAATAATAAAGTATTAAGTGTTATCAACTACCTTGATTATCGTAAAAAGTTTAAAGTGGTTTATTATACAATGAGGAAGACAATTAATCACTAAAAAATATTGCACGTTATATTAATTAAATAAATTTTATTTTCATAAACTAAATAAGCTAACAGTTAAGCAATTATTTTTACAGATTTAAGGAAATATATTTAATGAAGTCCCTTTGATTCTACGGCAAATGGTTAACAATATTCATTGGATTAATTCTACTATAAGAAGATGCCCAAGATTTGTGTGGCCACAGTAACAGAATGGCCAAGGTCGCAAAATCGTGGTTGCCGTTGTCTTGATGCTACTGAAGACTCACCGTGTAGAGAGGCTCATGCACGTTTATCGAGGCTCAACAAACCCCTCACATTGGCGTGGTGGAGAAGTTTATAGAGTAGAGGTCCTGCTCGGGTATCGTCCTTGTTATTTGACCGTGAAGAATTACAAGGTTCATCACATATAACCTTGATGTAGCTTCAAAGTACGACGTTAATAAACACACATTAAAATTTTGTTTGTTTTTTATTTAATTATATTGCAGGAATACTTGTATTTTAATATTATTAATAATATTTTAATATTTTAATAAATATTCTTAACAGGTACAGACTCGTAATACATAATACGAGGGGTTGAGACATAAGTCATGGCAACTATTTTTTTTTCTTGTAGATATGCGAACGCAAACGTGTATGTGTCGTGTGGAAGCTCTGCAAGTATAGTGTGTATGCAGAACATTAGATGGCTCTATGATAGCTGGTAGTAGCTCAGTGAGGGCTGTGAAATCAGTCAGTTGGTGAGTGCCGTGCAAGATGGAAGTAACCCGTGTTGAGCAGCGCGCTTATATCAAAATAGCCGTTCTCCAAGAGAGAAATGCGACGGAATGTCACAGCCAGAATAATGGACTACCATACCGTGTAGTAGCACGGTGGATAGGGAAGTTTCAGCAAGAACGTGTATCAACCAGTGATGAGCAGCGTTCGGGACGACCGGTCAGTGTGCGGACCGACTTGACGCGTGCCGTCATCGAGCAGCTCATGGATTATATTAAGAGTCATGGACTACATTAAGGGTTTTTAGGCCCAGGTTTGTCATGTCAAGTTTATGCATACTGTGTTGTCATTCTTTTGCACCGTGAAGGCCACATTGCCCTGTATATATATACTATCGTAATAAATTAGTGTGTTACCATATTTCAGTGCTATCCATTGTCCATACATGTAGTTAACACCTCGAACTTTCATCTGTATATGTCACATTTTCCAACCGGACTGGTATCTTCAAAAAAAAAATAGTTGCCATAACTTTTGCCCCAACTCGTATATGAACAATTTAAATTTTTTATTGAAGTTGAAGGAATAGTTAAATTTTACGTTGCTTATTTTTATGTTGATAAATATCTTGAATTGATGCATAATTAATATAAAATAAAACTCTAAATCTGTACTTTTTACCTCCACATACTTTGTCAAGGGAATCGAATTGTTTTAAATACTTCCTACTGCGTGGCTCCTTGAATCATAGCGGTAGATTGGTTTGGCACACCATCACTATAAGGTTGCCGACCCCTAGTAAGATAACGACGGATCACAGACAGCACGTATCAACCAACAAACCCTGCAAGTGCTTCGCTGAACATTGGTGTCTCTGATCTTTCACTTATCGATAAGATCTGAGATGCAATAGGCTGTCGCTTTTCTGTACTGCCACCACCATGTTCTACCATAGTCTCCTGAAGTGCTCTTAAAATCGACTGATTACCTGTTACGTTAAACGGAAACTTACATAAGTTTTTCAATAATTAATACCTAAAGAGTAATATTTGAAACAAGTAATATAAAAAAAATTAAGTCAATTCCTACTTAGGTCAACAAAGAAAAATTTTATTTTAGTTATTTTTTATTAAATAATTACAATTAATGTAAATATGTATATACATATGACACAGAATCACAATATTAAGTGGCAAAATAGAAAACGAAAAACCATTTTTCTTTCTATATATTCTTTTTTTGTAACTATTTATACATTCATAAATCACATTCTCAGAAATTAGGCCATACCAGGTAGGATTCGAACCACGACATTTGGATTAGAAGTCCAACGCGCTATGCATTGCGCTGGAGGACTGTGATATTCTCTGATGAGGGCAAATTTTGCATCTTCGGCATAAAAGTCGTAAATTTTAGTCTGGAGAAAACCTTGCACAGTGCATCAAAAAGAGCATTTAGTACCAACGGTAAAGTACGGTGGCGGTGGAGTCATGGTGTGGGGGTGCATGGCGAGTAATGGTGTTGGCAAGTTGGGTAATGAATCACAATTATGAACAAATATGATTACTTTGAGTGTCTTAAAGAATTTAAAGGAAAGTGCTATTGAACTCGGCAGGATAATCGTTTCGTTTCGGAGAAAACGCCAGCAACGATACTTAGTACCACACCGTGAGATTGTGAAGCTTTTGGCTTGGAGTATCTAAATAAATGCAAATATGAACTTTGATGTCCTCAATCAATCCTAAAGGAAACCTATGGAATCTGCTGGAATAAGTTCGTCAATACAAAGATCCTAAGATATGCTGAAGAGGGGCTCTTAGGTTCTATGTAAATATCTAAATAAACCAAATGGCGCAGTTTGATCAATCCTAGAAACAGGGATTGCTGGAAGAGGTTCGTCAAATGAATCAAGGATTTAAATCAAGCCAACTGGAAGATAAGCGCTTTATCACTTTTAAATATTTTTATAAGTTAATACTAAACGAAACGCAGACTTTCTAATGATCAGTTATATCAACAGCTACTAAAGCCTTTCCTTATTTTATAAATCTAAAACAAAACCAACTTTCTTTTGTATTTGTTGAATACTGTCAAAATGAATTAAATAAAATATAATTTTTTTAAAAAATTTTAAATCCCCGTTTTTTATTTTTTTTCCATTGTTCATGTAAGCAATAGTACGTGAACGCAGACTTTTTCTAGCTAGTGTATATAATTACAAAATACTAATTTCAAATAAATAAATAATGATGTACTGAACTATAGTAATTAGTTATTTAGTTTAGTAATCAATTTAGTGATCTAGAGTAAGAGGGCACATATATTTCAATCTTTCCACGAGGTCTTTCAGAGTCTGTAAAAGAATGTCTGTAATCTTAACATTAAATGAGATGCCTTCATGGACCTCCTAAGAAGGCGCTGGGGACCCTCAGGGGTCGGCGATCCACAGCTGAAGAACGAATGAATTAGATCATCAAATCAAATCTGTGAAAATGCTGTCTGGAGTAAAATTATCAAGCTGATTATTAATGCATTTAAAAACACTTTGAAAAATTTATCACTTCATATAAAACAGCAATAGAGAATTAAAACAAATATTTGTTTTAGATAAAATAAACTGCCCACAAATTGGTTAATCAGAATTAGTGAAGCATCGTGTTATGACACAAGAAAATCGATTTTAAATCGAAATTAATACCCTTTGAAATATTTAATACTCTATTCAATAACAGATTATGACGAAGTTTTGTGAATGTCCTTGTAATAATGAAATTTCAGATTTTCAGCCTTGACATTTAAATTTCTGCTGCTATTTTCTTTTTTAATCCTTTAATTACTTCTTGTGAAGTATCGAAAAAAATTCCAGCACAATAATCCTAAGCAACTCACACGAAATTGCTTTCCAAATTTAATCTCTCTCTCTCTCTCTCTGATGCTTTAATTCGGTTTTTTCTGATCAAAGTAAAATTTAACTGTTCAAACTGCTGCTGTAATCTAGCAAGAAAAACTAAACGCTTCAGATTTCTAAATCAGCTCTGTACTTCTCAAGTGTATTTAAGCTCACGATTCTCTTTTTTTGTTCAAATTAAAACTGGAGAAAATAAATGTTAAGGTCAATTAAAGTGAAAACTGTGTAATTTTTTTTTCTGTGTGTGTATGTGCATGAGGCTAAATCCTTTGCTTTCCCAAAATAAAAATAAAAGTATTGTTTTCAGAATGTATTAAAACGGAATAAAACTTTAGATTTTTTTTTTGGCACTGCAAAAATAAAATTGATTTTAAAAAAGAAAACCAAAATTTTTTTTCAGAAATATCATTTTTTAGTATTAATAAAAAAAAGTGTTTTTCTTTGATTTTATTTAAAATTCTTTATACGAAGAAAGAAATGAAAATCTTAAGAGGTCAGTTTTTTTGCCCAAAATGTTTTTTTAAAATAAATTAAAAGTAAAAAAACTTTTTTAAAAACAAGTTTTATTTAAATGCTTTAAAAACAATAAAATAAACTTTTCTTATAAAATTCTTTTTGCTATCAACTTATAAAGTCGTTACGCAATTTATGATAGAAAAGCTTGTCGCGAGATTTAAGTACTCGTATTTACTTAATTTGAAAATTTTAAAAATTAAAATCAATCAGATCAAGTTATTTAATTTACTTGTTTATCTACGCTGATAAATCTCGCGACAAGCTTTATATCATATATTGTGTAACGACTTTATAAGTTGATAGCAAAAAAGTCTTAACAGAAATGTTTATTTTATTGTTTTGAGAGCATTTAAATAAAGCTTGTTTTTAAAAAAGTTTTTTTTTACTTTTAATTTATTTTTTACTTTTTAGTTATTACTGAACAAAAGTTTCTCAGTCTGTTAATCTCAATAAACGCATCATTGTTGCACTGTTAGACCAAAACAACATTGGACAAAGGAAAATTAATTAAAGTATTAAAGCTAATTTTTTTTAACTATAATGCTATATTAAAAACGAAAAACACAATTTTTTTTTCTTAATCCGTAATTTTAAACCAATTTTTTCAATTCATGTGCAGAATTTGGGTAATACTATTCCACAAACGAAAAAATATTTTCGTGCGATTATATCTAAAAATTACGAAGTTTTTAAATGTTTTTTTAAAAATTTGAGTATTTTTTGAAAAATCTTCAAAAAAATTAGACATTTTAATTTTTAAATGACTGACTCTTAAAGAGAAAAGCCTGAACTTTCTTAATGCAGAATATCGATTCAATGACACGAAAAAAAAAGAAAGAAAAATTCATACGGAACTATTTAGAAATCATTTTCATGAAAACGCATCGATTTTGACTCATTTTAGAAAAAATTATAAAAAACAGAAAATATCATTATTTTTTAAAAATAATTATACCGTATCGTGGCAAAATAAACGATCTTTCCGATTAGGTAATTATTTTTTTGTCTCAGTTTGATGAAAAGAATAAGATGGATTTTTAAGAAAGGTCGGAAAATCGGAACTTCTTTAAGCTCAATCCGATAAACTGCTGGGCAGAATAAAAAGCTAGCAGGGGTAAAAGGTTTTCTATAATTATCTTTTTAACTAATTTGCGTATCGGAATATAAATCATCAAATCATGCATTGTCATCCAAACTAAACGTGTATACAAAATTTCAGCTCAATCGGTTGAAGACATCAGCTTCAACATTGAATTTCAAGATTCCACCCGAACAAATTACTTTAATTAATATCTTTTGACCTAATTGCAATATCAGAATATAAATGATCAAAACATGCATTGTCCTCCAAACTGAACGTGTATACAAAATTTCAGCTCAATTGGTTGAAGACATCAGCTTCAAAATTTGATTTTGCAAAATTCCACCCGAATTTTACTTATTAATTAAAAAGCTTTGAATCAAACATTTTATTTTTTTTATATTATAACTATAAAAGGTGCTTTAAAAAAAACTAACACAGTACTTAATAATCATGATAAGAAGAATTTTATTTTGATTTTCACTTTTAGTTTTGTTGCATCAAATTATAAAGCATGAATAAACTTAAAATCCTGCATTTCAAACAAAGTATGCGTAAACGTATAAATTGTGAAATGAAAAGAACCTAGCTGAACATAAAACGAAAACATGACCACGAAACCACATCCTCTTATAACGCAAGCAACTATCAAAAAAGTGAAGTCTTACACTTGAATTTGCCAAAAATAGTGAACAAAATGAAAAGAAATTTGAGAAAACATATATGAAAATGGAAATTTGAGGTAACACTGATGAGGCAGATATTTTGCTGTAATAGAAAATAAGATCAATTTTCATTGCCAATGACAGGGATGATTCAAATGTAGCTTCATCAGATAGTTGAAAGTTCTCAAAGTAGTTACATATAGTTGTAATTAGGGAATTACAACGGCAAGTTAAAATCAAAGAAGTTCAAGTAAAGGCAGAAATAACACTCTACCTCATCAGAATAGTTGAACCAATTTTTAGAAGAAAAATTCCAGCCTATACTGGAAAGGACATTCTAAGTTGAGCTTGCCATATGGTAAAACCTCTAGTCACTCAACAAGAGTTAACTGCCACTTATTTAGCAAAAAAAGATTCACACAAAAACAAGAAGAAAATGTATCGGATTCAATGAAACGCGTGTAAAATTACCTCCAGTGGACGTTTGTGCTTTCGGTTTATTAAAATGAGCCTTAGGAAAACGGCATCCAAGAATACAGAACGGACTTTGAAAAACAGATTCAAGAGGAATGGAGTAAAAAATTGTTATGACAGTAATAAGAAATAGTTTACTTTCATGGAAAATTTGAGCTAGAGTTATTTTCAAGAATCGTCGCTATCAGATAAAAGCAAATTGCCACAAAAAATTGGGTATTTATAGAGAGAAAAATTAACTATCCAAATCGTTTTTATAGCGGCCTTCTGTATTCCATGTATCTTAAAAGGTTTTAATCATATTTATAAAAATTTTCTTGTTCATACCTTTTTTTTCAAACGATTAAGGACTTTGTCTATTAGTGGATATATGTATATTTACACACACAGTTGAAGCATGGTCAAATAAGCAATTATTCAATCTACATCGATCAATGCTATCTCAGATATTAAACTCTCGTTAATTCTTTGAGTTGTTTTTAAAAAAATTCGATAGTTACAGTAACGTGTAGTTATTAGATAAAACGTTTTACTAATCCGTTAACGTCAATCTGGTTGATTGAGGAAGTGCTATATTTATGTCGCACTATATAGCTGCAAAAAGACTATTGTCGACGGACTTCATAACTTTGAACCTCGGGCAAGTTACGAGTACTACATCTGAACTGGCACTCCCTCTTCTAGCTTCCACACCACACCAACGAAT